AAGATCTCCTAGTACTAAAAGATACCAGTTTTTTTATATAGTTTCTCCAATTCTTTGTTTTAATTTGTTGAGAGTTTTTAGTTGTCTTTTGTCTCCTTGGTTTTGGCATTTTCCTGAGGACGACAGAAAGCAGGAAAGATGAATTAACAGAGGTACACTAATTGACTAAGAGATTCAAAGGATTTTCGATAGAATTGTCAGGGTGACGAGGAAGGAATTGTTAAACAAAATATGTATGCAAAATTACGAGTATTTATTCAAAAAGACCAAAGATCTACGAACGACGACAAAGAAAATCCAACAATTAGCTATAATAATAATTTTTATTGTCGAAAGCCACAACACAGATCAATTTTTGTTCGAACCAGAAAATATTCTAAATTCATTTGGCTAAGGTCTGTCGAGCATGAAATTTGTTGTTTGAACGAAGAACGAAGATTATCAATTACGCAAGAATTTCGAAAACTCGGGGATTGCACATTGACTATTAAATGAACATTGCTCATAATATATATATTTTTATTACTAATAGTTGTAATTATCCCGTTCCTCACCACAGTTAACCATATCAGAAACTTACGATTTCATTTCGTAATAACGATAATAAAGAAGACTCCTGGGTTTGGGCATGTGACATTCGTAACACTACGTAACGAATGGGTTCCGGGCAATACTGATGGAATGACATAACTCTTCGCTAACCCGTTTTGTTCTAATTTCAAGAAAAAATAACCAATGTCAAATCGATGGTTTTTTTTTTCTTTCTGGTCGTGAAGTTTGTTTGAAAAATTTTTCGAACCCACCTGCGAATTAACAAAATCCCCCTTCACGAAATACCACCACCTTCACCAGCCATTAGCGACACCGAATATTCGCGAGAAAAGATCCCGGTCGAATTCGGGTAATCGAATCGGAATTTCCTAATTTATTATCACAGGTTGGCTCGGTAATCACAAATTTGGATTCGAGCATAGGACGAAAAAGATGATTTTTAGAGATGATATAACACGTTATTTGACAAATAAAGGTAAAATTCATTTGTGTGATACAAATATGAAAAGATAGTTCAGCAAACATCATGTGAAATTGCCGTCGTAGCTTAGTGGTAGAGCGTCAGTCTTGTAAACTGAAGGTCGGTGGTTCAATTCCGCCCGTCGGCAGTTATTCGTCATTCGACAACTTTTTTTTTTTTTCTCCTCGAGAAAAAAAGCAAAGAAAATCCACAGCTCTGTTTTTTGCGAGAAACCAAGCAAAATTAATAGGCATAGATTTCGGCTTCCGGGATTTTCAAAATCCATTTGATTTTCGGCGAGTGAATTCATCGGATTTCGTGTTGACAGATGGATGGACTAGCATTCATTTCACACAATACATAATCGCATAATCATGCGGTCGGTGAAACGGTTAAACAATTTGCTCACGAGCAAAAAATGTTCTAGACAGACTTCTATAAAATCCTTTTGCGCCACATTCATACTAAGTACGTTTACATATATCCATAATGACAATTATCACGAGGAATTAATGTATTATAGAATCTTCCGCCGATCTAACCCTAATAAGTGTAGGAAAGTCCCCCAACAAAATCGCGTATCATAATGAAAAAAAACGTATATTAGTATTGTGTTCTTAAGATTCTTATACCGAATTTGGGATTGATCGTTGTGATACTGGCAAGAAAAAAAGTTGCACGCACATATATAAGGCGACCTCGAATCGCAACATAGGTTTCTTTCCTCTTCCCGAGAATTCGAGAGAAATCATGTCTTCGGGCATCCTGACGACCCCTGTGGTCGATCATTTCATAAATCTCGCTCATACTATTGGCACCCTCGCCGACCCATTCGTGTCACCCATGGAAAATGTCGTAAAGTTCACTTTGAATTCAACCTTTCCGGGAACATACCAATATTTCGTGGAAATATTGGAGGGATACAAATCACCGTTTGCGGATAGGTTGCCGCTGATGGACCCTTTTCACGTATCATTGATCTTCATCGGTTATTTAATGACGATATTCTTCGGGAAACAGTTTATGTCGCGACGCCAAGCGGTGTCCGTGAAGGGCTTGAGTGCATTTCATAATTTCTTGATGGTTTCGCTGAGCGGGTATATGTGTGCCACGATATGGATGGAGGCGAGGAAGAATGGGTACACCTTGTTTGCTAATCCCGAGGATAGAACCGAGAAAGGATTTCAGGTATCACATGAAGCACGATTTTTAATTTGATTTATTTTCAGATATCACATTCATCGTCACGCGTTCATCCATAAACCAGATGGCAAAGTACACTTGGCTATTCTACTTTTCAAAGATTTTTGAATTCATGGACACATTCATCATGGTACTGAAGAAAAACAATCACCAGGTCTCTTTCCTGCACGTTTATCATCATTCCACGATCTTTGTGATCTGGTGGTGGGTGATTTATGTGGCCCCTACCGGGGAAACGTATTTCAGCGCCTCCCTGAATGCAGGTATGAATTCAAAATGAGAATGTGAATGCAGATTCTCAATCAATAGCTAATCACTTTCACTCGTGTTACACGCGCCCTTTCACTCTACCACAGCCGTCCACGTCGTAATGTATGGTTATTACCTAAGCACCGTTCTCTCGTTCCCCATCCGATTCATTAAACGTTACATAACTCTCATGCAGATGACTCAATTTGTTATGAACATGGTTCAGGCTACTTTTGATATATTCTACTTTAATTTCTTATATCCCACGTTGAAAGAAGTATATCCTTTCAACTTGACAATATTATTGTGGGTTTACATGTGGACCATGTTGGGATTATTTGCCAATTTCTTTGTTGCGGATCGTAAGCGGGAAAGAGAGGTTAGGAAGAAGGATGCAATTAGTGCAAAGAGGAAAGCACAGTAAAGAGAAAC